TATATATATAGATAGATAGATAGATAGATATATATATAATAAAAAGGATTTGGCCATGGAGTGGACTCGTCAAACAAACTCGTATAATGCCACTACAGTACAAGACAACTTAACTTGACCAACACAATCATGAAACACAATAAAAATTGGCCCAAAATAAGATTGAAATGAAAGAAAAAAGTTTCCAACTCAATAAAATAAAACTACATAAAAGAGATTCTTAATTTCATTTGAATTTGCTACAATAAAAAACGACCAATCACTGCATAACACACTAAGATTCATATGATTGTTAGATTGTTCTCCCCAAAGTTTGTTATTGAAAAAGTGTGATTGATATTCCATATGCAGGGTTGCTTTCGTAACTTTATTAGTGCCTTGATATTGATGCTCATATCCTTAGTTTAAGCATTTTATCGGTTTAAGTATACTCTACCAAATAAATAGGCATCTATTGACACAAAGCCTTATAATCAAGTTCCATGAAATCACTGCTTCATTTGTTTTGACCATATGCACAAGAGTCACGTCTTTACATCATGAAGGGTGGCTTATAATCTTTGATAACATAGGTAGAAATTGTCTACAACTAGATTATACTTTTATTTTATAAATTAAATTCTAGCTGTTTTTTAACAAACTTAAAATAGCAAGAATCACCCCGATCTATTGATTTAGTGAGTCAACTATGATTCATCCGATTGTATAGTTTGTTAGATTTCTTCAGTTCTTTTCTGGATTTTTATTGTTCTTATAATGCTATAAATACCCCCTCTTTGAGGGAATCAGAGTATGTGAAAACAAAAGAACAAAGAAGCTCTGACTATTTCCCATCTCTCATTGATCATTTGGGGCTGTGGGCATTCTCGAATTGCCTGTCTCTCCCTCTCACTGTAGAATTTTAGACATCCTTGAATTATCATGCATCTCTGTTTCTTTTTCTCTGTATTTTTCTATTTTTGCATGTCACCGATCTGAAAATTTTGTTGTTTTAAATATTTGCCATTGTTTTTTGCTAACCTTTGCTTACAAAATAAAGAGAATGCTATTTAATTCCATTTTGTGACCATTCAGACTCCAGAATTACTGCTCCAAGAAGTATCAGGTGGGCTGCTTGTGGAGCCATATCAATGAGCTGCACATCAGCCTTGCTGGTCCGCCTCTTAAGTCCAGAGTGTGAACCACAGAATATAGCTGCTTATGATAAGGGCGTCTGAAACAATCACTGGCGTGCTGTTCTGAAGACTGACTATTAGTTATCTGCTGAGACTCTGCTCTTATTACACCAATCTGATCACTGAATGAAGTGGTATGTATCCACTTCTCAAGGTACAAATAATTTTTTTAACAATGTAATTTTTTGTGTTGATAGAGGTGCACTAAATAATTATTGTTGTATATCATCTTATTGCTGAAAGAAAATTTACATTTGCTGCGCGCCGGAGGATTCCTGGTGGTATAGTGATAATTTAATGTATTAACGTTGCTCGAAGATTCAACACACACATGATAAAAGAAAAATAATAGGATGAGGCACGAAGATTTTTTATGTGGAAAAACCTTGAAATGGAAAAAAATCACGGGTCCTAGCCTGACAAAGAAATTCACTATAAGTGTGTAAGTGCAAAGAGACTTCATTTTATCACAACCGGAAGAATAATGTTGTAATTTTACACCAAATACAACGTTTGTCTGTATATAACGTAGAGAAAATTGTAAGAGTTCAGAGAGAGTCATTGTATTATGAACACAACAATCATGAGCAATTGTCATTGAATCTTTAATACGATGTTATATGTTATATTGTATTCGAGATACATTGTTATACAATATTCGAGATACATCGTTATATTGTAAAGTTTACCAATGATCGGTGAGCAGGGGTTGTCGGCGGTTGTTGATGGCGGGATGCAGGCAGTGGTCAGCGCCTGCCGAGGCTTGAAATTATCCCCAAGTTTTTAGTCCAGAATAATGCTGAAATTTGACTCATTCTTTTCCCCTCGTCAAGTAAAGAAATGACTTATTTATAGCCTCTAGGGGATGAGTGTGTTGATCATTGACTCATACTGACCCCTTGATTGTATGAGGTTTCTTAATGATTTGAGACCCTTTACGACGTCATAGTTAAGCACTTAAGCTCGTTTGATTTCTCTCGTCGAGATACTTGATTTGATTATAAGTATGTTAAATTTGACATTCGTTTGATCATCAAATTAACAATTCAAAACTTTTAAATGTGTTTTAATGACTTGATTTGGATATGTTTGGACTAGGACCGGACCAATTTAACTCGCTGATCATCTAATCATCGGGTTCATCTTGTCGAAACAATTAATTTGTCTATAAACTTATTGAAATCAATGCCCTATAGGATTTTTAAATTGAATCTGAAGCATTTCTTGCCCATAAATGTGTTGAGATTCAGCCAAATAGTAAATTTCCTGATTAAGCACCAATTTCCCCATCTTTTTTGGCGATATTGTTCATGTTGTCAAAAAATAAGGACGTTAAAAAAAAATTATACTTTGAGGAGATTTAGGTTGTCTTATACTCCGTGAATTTGAATGAAGTTGTCACAGTGGGCAAATGTGTAGTAGTTGTACTCTGAAGTTAATTGTAACGATCATATAACATTACTCTAGTGGCAGTAGTGACTGTATAAAAGTGGGAGGTATTTAGAGGTGCAATCACAGATGTATGGGTGCGTATACGTGTTCGTACATGCAAAGGTGCATAATTATGCATTAAGGACGCAGTGAGATCTCTAGGCAACTACGTACAAGAGCATGGATGTGATGGCTTGTGTGAGCGCGAGTTGTTGCGTGAATGTGGGCATGTGTGTGTAGACGCATACATGTGTGCCCGAGCATTGCAACTAGTGACATCGGCAGGCGATGACGAGTAGTGGGTGCGCGTTGACAAGTGGTGCGGCGACGGGTGGCATTGCTGCAGCGTAATGGTACGTGGGATCATGGGTCGGTGATCGGGTTAACAGGGTAGTTCGACTGATGGATGTGGGACCGGGGGCGGCAATTGGGTCGTGCGACATGGCAGAGTGGGCACGGGTAGACAACCGAGTCATCGAGCCCATCCGCACAAGGAAAGTGCGTCTACACCCTCATGTGGACAATTAAAAAGTGCTTTTTTTTCAAAAATTCATTTTGTGCCCAAAAATCCAAATTTTGGCCTAAAAATAGGGCTCTTGGGAAAGGGAGAAAACTCCCCTCTCCTTCACATGTCGAAGTCCCTATCAGCCTGATGTTGCTCCTTTCTTTGATTGGTGTTGCTCCATCTCTTGGGCTGGTGTTGCCCCATGTTTGGTCTGTGGTTGTCTTTTCAGGGAGGCGTTTTTGGTTGCTGATTGTCCCTTGAGATTCCAATGTCTACTAGGGAAACTCGACTTCCTGAAGATAAAAAGTGTTAGAACCTTGACAAGGCAGTATCGACACTGGCTTAAGATGCCATTATATTATTTTACAAGAAATTTCACTTTTCGAATGACATAGTGGTGAAGTTGCCAACTTTGATCGATTGAGCGTGCTCACCTTCACTTAAATTCATCATGATTTATGAGGTAAACTTGCTCGTCAGCTTATGGTTCCTTCCAGTGCCGAAGTTAATGGATGTTTAATCGGTGACTTGTTGGGCAATGATGACCATGGTCAGGTTGATCACCTTCTTCAGGAAACGTGGGGCTAATTGAAGTTGGGAATAGATGTTAGATATTCACACGAAGGATCTAATGTGAAATTGATTCTTCAGATTTTCTTTACACAATAATGACTGGATTTTGTGAAAATCAGGGAAAATTGCAGGAGATTCTCACTCTTCTTCAGATCACTTGGATGACATACTGTAGATGTTTGGTTTCCACAACATTGTAGACTACATTTTGAGGTACAATACATCAATAAATAACTTTTTGAATGAAGAGTTTTTGTTCAAGACTAGCATTTCCACTCACCATGGATGATCCTATGCTACGATGTTGAAGAAATCTGAGAAGAAGCGTCCAGACCCGACTCCTACTTTTTCAAAGCGGCCTCAGTAGGACAGTGATTGTGGGTTAGTTTCTCTGAAGCAGAGTAAGAGCAGTGACAGAACAAAAAGACCTCCGTCCAATCCCTCAAAAATTCATATTTTGGAGAGTACTGAATCATTCATGCACTGGGTACCAATAAGCCTAAGAATATGTGAGTCTTTTTTTAATATGTTATTTTACTTTGTTTTGTGTTCCTTTCATCTATATGATATGAAATTGTTCTTTTCAGGTGACAAATGAGATGAAACTTGAAGTGGGGTTATATCTTTCCTTGATAAAGTGAAACTCCGAATTTGTCAAGATCAAATTCCTCCACGACGAGTTCGTAACGTCCTATTTCATCTCCTCGAGGGAGTCAAAAAGTGGAAGATGAAGTGAGCTGTCAGGATTGTGAAGATTTGATTCGTTCTATAAATGGATGCATATGTCGAAAGGCAGAGGCAAGATTGAGAGCGGGAGAACAAAAAAGAGAAGTCGTGTGGTTATCTTACTAGAGATTTTATTCTAATTGGAACATTAAGGGCTCTGACGTGAAGAAGGAAGATAGCTGAAGTGCATCTTGGGCAAGCGTTTATGCTCTTGACGAAGTGAAGACGTTTCTGTTGAGTGCGAGTATCGTGATGAAGAAGAAGCTGGCCCATACACTAGCCAAATTTTTTAGAGGAAGCGACTTTCGTGTGTAGGAGTAGAGCCAATTTCAACAAGTGGGCTTGCGGGAGAGGAGCTCATGTGCTGATAGAAGACTTATGCGTGCGCTCAGGAATAAGAAGGGAGATCCTTGTGTAGACGAAGGAATTGACAAGCTAAAGCCTGCGAAGGGGGAAGACGGGCACATTGTCGAAGTTGAAGGTGTTGAAGCAGAGGAAGAATAAGAAGGGTGCGACTCTATGGGTTAATATAGTAATTAAAGGTAAGATATTTAATAATATTAGTTTATGAATTTAGTATGTTATTAATTATTAATTATTAATAGTAGGGTTTAATCAAATCAAGATTCAAACTATAGAAGTTTCACTTTTGGTTTGAAAAGAGGGTGGTGGCAACAAAGAAATGTTCGAGTTTGATTTATTTAGGTTTTGTTTGTTTATTAGCTCTATGAACTAATGATACATGTAATGAATTCAATGAAATTAATAATAATAATAATAATAATAATAATAATAATAATAATAATAATAATAATAATAATAATAATAATAATAATAATAATAATAATAATAATAATAATAATAATAATAATAATAATAATAATAATAAATTGTTACATAACATAAATATCTGTATATTTATTCAAATCATAAAGTCTAATCAAAATGATATACATTACATAAAGATATTAGAAAGTTAAATTAGGTGGTCCATCTTTTTATTGTCAATATTTTATTTAAGTTTAAATTGTTATAAAATTAACTAAATTTTGATTTGAAATTATGATAACAATTAGCATAATAATAATAAAATAAATTTTATTATATGATACAATAATGGTAAGATAAAGATAAATTGCCTTCTAATTATAAGATTAACATCAAATCAAGTAATAGTAATTCTTTATACATTTGACTTTAGGTTTTCATTGGAAATAAGTGAAGAAAATGTTTGACCAGAAAATCATTAGTGATTGAGTTGAGTACTTTCAAATTATAGTATCATTTTTGTATCTCTTCCAAACCACTTGAATGAATTGTTATTCATGCTTATTGGTTTCCTCTATTCTTAAATTTTATCGGGCATTTCGATTGCACTCTTATAGTCTCACTATATTAAATATTTTATTCATTATAACAATAAATATTAAGTATTGAGTGATATGATATGAACTATATAACTTAATTGTATGTGCATGCTTGACGATGATGAAGTCACTCTTTTATAGTACTAGCGGGAGAACGCTAAAGTACCCGTGCATGTAAATGAAAAATGATATTGATGTTAAAATATCTTAACTTGTACAATTTTTAGATGATGTTCTTGTGACAGTTGTGCATATGTAAATGATATATACATGTTATTGATACAGTAAAATGTCTTAAATATTATTAAACTTTGTAAGTGATCATATTCATAAATTAGCAAATGATTTATCAAGGGCTTAACTTGTAGCATATTGTTTTCTTTTTCTTTTTGACACTATAATAAGAGTGTGAGTATTCATTAGCTATAGTTAGCTCACCGTTATATTTTAAGTAAGAAGTAGTTTTGAGAAGGGCCAATTCACGAATTTCTTGGAGAAGTTTCAAATTCTGCTAGAGTTCTCATCATTCACATTATGATTGAAATCTTGAACCCATAAGCTTGAGATTCCAATATCAACTGGAATAACTGTGTTTGTGTTGAAACAAAGATTGTATGTTGTTTCCTCGGAGTACGAGAAGAGGTGTCAGAAGCCCAAGGAACATTAGGGGGTTCTACGACCCATTGACCCCCAAAATTTTCGAGGTGAGCTTTCAGCTCCTTAAGTATGGTATGGTTGGTGACCTTAGTTCGACCATTCTTCTGAGGACGAGTTACAATCGTATGTAGGAGTTGGATGTAGAGATCCTTACAGAAAGATGTAAAGACTTTTCTAATGAACTGAGTTTTTTTTTCAATAATGATTCCAAAGTGATAAATTATGTTCTTTCTACAATTTGTTTGGTATTTGCTATGTAACTTTGGCTAGGGGTTCTACCTCCATCCATTTATTGAAGTAAACAATGAGAAAAATCACAAACTTTTGTTGCCTTGCAGCCATAAAAAAAGGTCCCATGATATTTATCCTTATTGGGCAACGACTAGGGGCTCTGGAGAACGTAAGTTCTGTCAGCGGCGTGTCTGTGTGAGACTAGAATGAGATGGGTAACTTTCACATTTCTTGGTGAAATTTAGTGCATTTTGCTTCATCTATGGCCATTAATACCATTGTCTCATTATCTTGAGAGCGGGGGTTCTTCCTCCCAAGTATTCACCATATATCCCAGCATGAACTTCTTGTAAGACATAGTCAACATCGTTGGATAGAGGCATTTAAAGTATGACCTGTGAAAATCCTCTTGTAAAGTTTACCATTTATGATGGTGAAATTTGCCGCTTTCCTTCTGACTCAGAAGACCTCATCTGTGTCTTCGAGAAGTGCCTCATTTTGATGGAAGGAGAATTTAAGATCCATCTACAAATTTTCATTTGTTTCTTCGATTGATTGTACCTTCTAAGGGCTAGGAATACTAGAAAAATATATATTTTCAATTCATCAACTTGTGTGAGAATCATCAATTGTTAAAATGGCCAGCTTAGAAAATGCATCAGCTCAAGAATTTTGTTACTGGAGTATGTGACTTATCATATGTGTTCGAAAATGAATAATGAGCGATTTCACCAGGGCGAGATATTATTCTAGCTGTGGATTAAGAACATTGATGTCCCTCTCCACCTGAGAGACTATAAGTTGAAAATCAATATAAATGATTAAGTCTGAACCTCGTAATCAATGAAGAGTCTTAATCCGGTGATAAGGGCTTTATACTCGGTGACTTTATTTGTTGCCAAAAATTTCAAATAAAGTTTATAGTCTATAGTCTTGCTTATGAAAGATAAGTTAAATTCCGGTTCCAGTTCCAAAATTCCAGAAGCTCCATCAACGTGCAAAGTACATAAGGAAGATAAAGGGGGGAATGCTTGGCTCAATGGGTTATGAATGTTCATTCTACTATAAAGTCAACGAGAACTTATGATTTAATATCGGGCCTTGACAAGAAGTGGATTTCAAAGTACCATAATTTTACGGACAACTTCATTGGCTTTCCCGATGCTTCTAGCTTTGTAAGATATCCTTCATAGGGAGGTTTGTGTAGACACCAATAATATGAGCTTAAAAATACGGATGTAATTTTAGCACCGAGAATATTAGTGTTTGAGCTATCTTATCAGTCAACATATAACAACTTTTTGTGTCTAAAAGGATTTTGCTAACGTAGTAAACCAACCATTGAACCTTCTGCTTCCCCTAATCAGGATTGAGCTTATTATATACAGAGACATTGTAAGATAAAGATACAACGGCTCTCCTTGGACCAGTTTTGACAACAAATGTGGTGAAGCTACGTATGATTTGAGCTATAAAAAACAACTTGATGTTCGTCGGTCCATTAAAGAATGTGAGATACCTATCTACTGATGTGTTAGAAAATGAGATAGTGCAGCTATCCTTTATTTTAACCTTTGCACATCTTTTATGTCTATTGGAGGCATTATATCGTTGAATGCTTTAACTTTCTCAAGATTCACCTTGATTCTACAGTGAGTGACCATGAATCCAAGAAATTTGTCTTACGTGACTCTGAAGGCACATTTGACTGAGTTAAGGGGTTTGTTATACTATTGAAAAATATGAAGGTATTTTTCTTAGTCAGGAATATGTTGAGAGATTTCCAAACTCTTGACCAACATGTTATCGATATATACTACCATGGCGTGTCCGATGAGGTCTTGCAAAATCTTGTTCATGAGGCGTTGGTAATTTACACCGATGTTTTTTTAGCCCGAAGGGCTTTACTCTGTAGTAGTAAAAACCTTTATTTGTTTGGAATGAAGTAGCTTCCTCATTCATGGGATTTATCTGTATCGGGTTGTAACAAGAGTTAACATCCATGAAGCTGAGCGTTTGATGTACAGAAGTAGCGTCAACTAATTCATTTTTTTTTTGCGGAATAGGAAAATTGTCTTTTGTAACAGAAGTAGCGTCAACTAATTCATTTTTTTTTTTTTTTGCGGAATAGGAAAATTGTCTTTTGTATAGGCTCTGTTAAGATTAGTGTAGTCGACACTAAGAGTGTAAGTGAGTCAAGCCAACTCTTGAGCCGGCTCGAGTTCGTCTCAACAAGTGGCTTGTGAACTGAGCTTGATAAGCTAAAAAGTCAAGCTCAAGTTAACCCCAACTCGACTTATTAGCTCGTGAGTTGCTCTTTTAAAAATATTGATATAAAGTATACTCAAAATATATTAAATTTTAAGACTTTATTATAAAAGTAATAAAAAGTTTTGAAAATAATATTTTGTATTTTATATTAACCAATTTCTTATTATTCCTTTTTTAATTGTTATGTCATTTTATTATAACACAATCTTAAATTAATGTTATTTTCTCTTTTAGAGTTAACAAGTTGACTCATGAGCCAACTCAAACTCGTAAATTTAAGCTCGAGCTCGAGCTCGAACTTAATTAAATTAATCAAGTTCAACCTCGAGCTGAGAGTGGCTCAAGCTCGACTTGACTTGTTACACCTCTAGTCGAGACACATCCTTCATGCTTCATAAGCCTTCTTCACCTTGAAGTTTGTGAGCCAAACAGGATGATGCGCCTCCTGGATGAAATTTGCTTGGAAAAGCTTGTCGATCTCTTATTCAATTGCTTGTTGGCATTCTACGGCAAGATTTCCTTATTTTTTGGATGATCGACTTATATGTGGGGTCGATTTTTACGGAGTGCACCATTCCATTAGGATCAACCCCGTGCATATCTGTCAGACTAGGCGAACACATCTTGATTTTTGCAGAGAATGTCTACATACTCTGACTTTTGTTCATCGGACAGTAAAGTCCAACCTGCACAATCCGTGAGGTGTGTTCCTCTGATAAGGATACACAGATCAAATCTTCAACGGGTGAAGTCAGTTGGGATATATCTTCGTCTCGGAGGTCAAAACATTCGATATTGGGACTCTTCGATGGGCACAGTTGGGCTTATTTGAGGTAGCATGATTATGCTGTTTTCATATCCCCCTAGATAATGACAACTTCAAACGATGCTGGAAAGTTCATTTTAAGGTGTGATACAGAAATCAAAACCCCAAATATTGATTGAAGAGGTCATTCGAGATGACATTATATGCTAATTTC